AAAAAAATTGCAAAAACAACTACATACCGGTTTTCTGTGTGCACTGCTTTTAATTTTTAGTTCTTGTTTAGCAGTTGAAACAGAAACGTGCTACTGTATGTTATGTTCCTAATAAAAATAATATTTATAATGTAAATGTATTATAGATGTAATATTTAAACTACATTTTTACGAAACCCGAAATAAATTGTTTGTTTGTTTTTTTTTTTTTCATTTTTAAGTGGTGTGACGATTTTTTTGATATTTCTTCCGAATTCTGAACGATTTCTTTCAGAAAATCGGAACTTTCTCCCGAATTCTGAGCGTTTTTTTTTTCAGAAAATCTGAATTTTATTCCGAATTTTCTTTCGAATTCTGACCGATTTCTTTTAGAAAATCTGAATATTCCGCCGAATTTCCAGACGAATTCTGCCCGATTTCTTTCAGAAATTCGGAGTTGTCCTCCGAATCTTTTCCGAAAATCTAATTTTTTCTCCTATTTTTTCAAGAATTTTCACCGAATTCGGACCGAATTCGTCCAGAAAATCTAATATTTTTTCAGATTTTTTTCAGAAAATCTTTCCGAATTCGGTGACCACGTCCATACAACTTTCGTACCGAAATCGGAAGGAATTCGGAATCAGAATCGGACATTTTTTCAGAGATTCTGACAGAAATCGGACCGAATTCGGCAAAAATTGTTTACTGGGGAGGCACTTCCTTCTTTTGTTTGTCTGCGTGTGCATGTGTATGGGGCCTCCTGCAGCGTTGTGCTCAATTTACACTTCGTCTTGCCATTAGTGATGGTCATATACCGGTAAATAATACATTATATACCTATACCGTCAGAGGTACCTTCTTTGGTTGTATGTGTGTGTGTATCTGTGTGGTTGATGGAATAACGAACAAAAATACGTTAAAACAGAAACAAAACTGTGCAAATGCCAAAAAATACGTTACAAAATGTTTCGGCGACAGACTGCCAGTCAGACCGTCAGACAGCCAGACAAACCTACAAATATACCCTACACAGAGCCATGGATAGGGGAAAAAGTGGCAGCTGTATCTATGTATTGGTCTCACCAACATTCGTACCCAACATTGTGTTTGAATGGATGGCTGGTTGGCTGACTGAATGTATGTTTGAATGTAAAACCAGCCATAACCAAAGTAAACATTTTTGAAACTGGTTGCCGAATCCAATGGATACAAATTTACCCAAATATAGAGACTGTTGTCTGTCTGTCTGTCTTTCCAAATGCGATGTACAAGTTGTCTGAATGTTGGTGTTTGTGTGACACAAAGAGGGTAGATACAAATCCATTTACACATCCCAACGTACCTAAGTATGTATGTATGTTTGTACCTAGAGATGCACATCAGTACGAAGAACGATGGTAGACATTGGTATCGAGCAGAGACTCATTCATCTCAAATATCCATCCAAAACGTGAAAACGATGAAAATTCAACTGCGTTTTATTTAAGTGGTCCATGCTCAGGGACGGTGTTTTCGATTCTTGGAGGGAGGCTTGACAATGGAGAGGCCTCCTTTATGATATTTTGAACTGAATTTCAATGAAATAGGGATAACTTCTGATACAGAACATCGTTTTACGGGAATGATGTTTCAAAATTTCAATAATTTTGTAAAAAAGCATAAAGTGGAAAAGGTAAATCTAAAATTGTATGAGTTTTATTATTTTTTTTTTAATTTTTTACGTACGCTTCTGATCTTCACTTGTTCACGATGTGGGAGGTTCAGATTGGCTTAGTTCACATAATATCTAAATGTATTTTGAAAATTTATCGAAAGGCACCAAAAAGGGCGGAATTGGTAAAAATATCAAGAAGAAGAAGTTTTCCGCTAATTTCACATAAAATCGGAAGCCCTCGTAAGAGGTATAAGAAGGATTCGCTTGATATTACCCATTTTCGTATCTGACTTATATGGTAAGGTCTTTTAAGTTTTGATATTGCCCATCTTCGAAACTTTAATAAAACAAGTAAGCAAAAGCTATAGTCGGCCAGAACTGACCATGCGATACCCTACATTACTATGAAGATATAGATCTCCCACTTGGTAAAATACTAGGCATTTTTTCTTTAGGGAATTTTTAACCTTCTGCTACAACCACGAGTCCATGGACAATTTCGTGATAATTGTCTTTTATTTCCGTCCCCTATCGTTTAAAACTGTATTGTAAACTCCCGTATATGTTAAGCTATACCATCGTTATCTTACACCATAGGTCAGAGATAGCCTAAAAGTTCTGATAAATTTCTCCCTCTAAGTATTATTCGATCAATACCTAAAATGGAGGGAGTCTTTCCTATTGCAAATCAGGTTCACAATTGTGACCCGTTAGCGACTACACAATCATGAAAATATACTTTGGGATTACCTCCAAAAAAGGTTTCTATTCTGGTTGGAGTTCGACCTGCATTCTTAATTTCGTGGCTACCGGTCAATGATCGAAACATTTTTAAGATTTGATTTTCTATCCAGTAATATTGCAAAACATTAACATAAAGCCACTTTGCTTGGAAAAATGTAAGCACTTCTAAAATCTCTCCCGTGTCTTTCCAAAGTTACAACCAACCTGAAACCTTAAACAATCTTAAAATCGAAGGGTACCGTAAAATAGGAATTGCAATGTGTTCTGTTTCCTATATTAGAATTTTTTGTACTGTAAAAAGGTACATTCCTGCATATGAGTATGATTTCAAAGATCTATCAAGCTTTATCGAAATTTGGATGGATCTGCAACATGGCCCTTATCCTCATCGCCCGTATCGCCCATCACTGGCTGCCTTACTGCATATGCATCCGCATATTAAAGATAATTATTGCATGAAATGAATGTATGTCTATATTCCCCCCCATGAACATATGTTTGTATGTGTGTTTATGATTTTACGTTTATGCAGGCGCAACATACACAAAACCGGCACAAAACGATTTAAACGACAGCAGATGGTTCCATCCCTGCCTTCAGACCCTTCCAGCTGGCATGTCGTTTTTAACCAGCATTTTCTTTCGACTCTACCTCGAGTGTCGTCGTCATGTATCTGTCGTTACATTCGGGCATACATACATTCTGTGGACACGAGCAGACGGAGCGATATACATACGTACGTACCTCCATGTATGTTGTTGATTTCATGTACGGGTAACTATGTATATATGTACATATCGTATGCCCTATGTGCTGCGCCATTATCCATATGCTTGTCTGTCCATTCATGCCCAAAACAACTTCAATATTTTATCCCTGTCTGGCTGGCAGATTTGTTTTTTGATACCCTCATCCTGTTGTACAACAACGTAGAAATTATTTTTGGATGTTTTTTTTGGGAGAAATTTCCAATATCCTTTTATGTTGGCAATAATTTTTGGTGTTCACTCTTTGAAAACTTGGAATAATGATAATTTTTTAAACTTCGACCATATAAATGTTATATGAAACCTCATCGGTCCCCTCTATGCGCACGCATACAATTTGATTTTAAAAAAAGGTGTGGAGAGTGACCATTTATATTGCAAAAGAGAATTATAAACGATCAAAACTTTTTAAAAATTATAAATCACATATAAAGTTATCAATATCCACAGTGATTCCTAAATTTTTATTACATTACGTTTGTAACAAAAAAAGGTATGGACTTAAACCTGATTCCTTCAAAGTTCGACCAAATTATTTAAACGTATATGAGGCAAAAGGCTGGCTGTTTCGATCAAAACTTTGCATATCATTATAATTCCGAAAAATTTAGGTTAACTTATTTTAAAAATGGAAGATGGAACAGGAACATGTCTTTGCTACATTTCCCACAAAAGTCAATGTTATGAAAAAACAAGTTTAAAAACTGAAAGTTCGGCCTGGCCGAATTTTGAATACCCTCCACCATTGGAAACAATTTGGCAAAATTTTTAAAAATGAAATAAAATCCGTTAAAAATTTTGTTAAAATCTTAAAAAACCGAATGAATGTAGTCGTTCGTCTATAGGGTAACTTTTATTATAAGCCATTACAATATCCAAATCAAATGCGAAACTTGAAAAAAGTCGATGAATAATGTAGCTAAAATCATCCAAATACCGTTATATGGGGACTATACGAAGAAGTGGACCTGCACGGACAATTTTCTGTCATAGGCTGCAGTATCCATTATGAATTTCAAATACCAAATTTGAAACATTTCCGTTGAATAATGTCGCTTAAATCACCAAAATACCGAAAATGGGGAGGTACCATTATATGGGGGCTATACCAAAAGTCCTGCAGACATAATATACATTTGGGTAAAATTTTATCAACCGTCTTCATTTCGTTCGGAAGCTAGAGCGATTTCCACAGACGGATGGACATCGCTAAATCGACATAGAATTGTATGCTGATATTTTCAGAAAAAATGGATCTTCTAATTAAAAATCAGTGAATCTCTTAAATAATATTTTTAAATGGTTTTTCGGGTTGTAATATTTTTAAAGAATATTGACAGTTTTTTGCCAAGTAATACATACTTAAAGTGTTCGATACCAAAAATGCTCTTCAGGGGTCCATAAAAGCGATGGGGTTGGCATATTTTTCGACACGTGCACTCCTTCCTTTTGCAAGAGAGGGACAGGCAAAATATTCAAATCATTTTTGGATTCTAAAGATGGAGTCATTGTCTGGTCTTTGGTGGGACATTTTCACAAAATTTTTGTCAAAGGATAGCATTTTCATTACTCTATTTGATCTAGATCACAAGTTTCCTGTCTTCAATTGATGTCATGCAAAAGAGCCATTACTTCACATGGAACCACTTCCAAATGGAAACCACTTCCACATATAGATGTTTTTAAACCATCTGATACTTCCTAACACTTGTTAAGATTCCTCGTGGTAAGACCTAGTCTTTTATCACAAAATTAATTGCCTTCGTCCTAGGAGACACCTGCAAAATATTAAGTCCATAATATTAAACCTCTAGAAGTCCTTTTTTTCATTTAAATTAAAAACAAAACTAGACGCGAATTTATTTCAATCGAAAATTTTGTACTGCTATTTGACGTAACAAATATTTTGTTTCAATCTGAACAAAAATTGTTGACCTTAACCTCAGTGGACTGATAGCTCCAACAGAATACTGACACAAAATCTAGAAAACACATTAATTTCGCCTTAATCAAATCTTGGCTTTCATTGAAAATCAAATGGATTCAGTTCAATATTGTATATGAAATTTAAAGCATGCCAAATTTTACGCAACTAATTTTACTTTCATTTGCCATTTTCCTCACAAGCCTAGGGGTAGGTAATATGAGAAGTATTTTTTTTTTTTTCTAAATTTTTGAAAATCTTTCAAAATTTCCCCTTTTTTTCAGGCGACCCATGGAAATGTTGTATTTCGATTTGGTTTCAATTTCGGCATCGATTCTGGTGAGACATTACTCAAAAGTGATCTACAAATCGGTGATGGATCGATCAAGTTTTTCAAGAGTACATCTCAAACGGAAACATCCACTACAGAAGCCCCGCATTTCATGAATGACATTTGGTCGCAGCAGAGCAAATTAAATGTCACAGCCAATGACAAATTTCAAAAATCGCGAGATGCTGTGACGCACTTAAGAAACGATCTGTCCGATGTCGTTGGACGCAGTGATTATCTGGCAGCTCAGGTCAAGTTGATGACCCGTTATCTGAACAAAGCCAATATTGCCTTGGAAACGAGTGCAGCCAATCGTTTTCGAATTCTACAGGATTTTGTCCAGCTTGTTGATGAATTGAAAACTCCGCCCGGTGATGATGTTGGCGGCGAACGTTCCTTAGATTATGCTGTTATGAAAATGGCACTGGACAAACATCGCTTGGTCGAATTACAAAATGAAATCGTGGTGGACGTTCTGCAGGCTATGCAGGCATGGCAGGATTTTGTGAAGAACAAAATGATTGAAGTATCAACTGTTTAAGAACATAACTAAATAAACAATAAATGTATAGATATTATTTTGTCACTTTTTGGAAAATATTTTTTGGTGGCATTAACAAAAAGTCGTGTAAAAATTCTAACAGTTTCGAAGTTTTTCGAGCGGAGCCAGGAAGAAATTCGAACTTCTTTATCTAACATTTTATCCCTTATTGAACGTGTTTCCATTTTAGTGGCATACTTTAGAAGTGCGGTTTTCCAAAAAGGTCACTAAATTTCCAAAACAAAACAACAGCTGCATTTTTTCATAACCAAAGGAAAAACCTGATGCAGCAAATTCTAAATACAAATTTATTTTTTAACAACCAGTCATTAGTACCTCACATGATTTTCACCTGTCCTTTCGAGGCCACACAGCATCAATTGGTTTTCATTCAAAATCCATGCTTTGAGTTTAGCGTGTCTTGCCTAAACAAATCCATCTCATCATGTTTTAAGACGGATGTCTTTAAGTCATATCTTACAGCAGACAGCAGACAACAGCAAAACAGAACGAAGAAAAAGGAGTAAAGGAAAATCCCTAATTCTTATTGTCGACATTCGACGTGATATTCCCAAAGAAGAGGATCCTTTGCCAAACAAAACATGTGTTCATTACAAGTTCAACTAAATAAGGGATAATTTCAAAGAATTTACCTGAAATCTGAGCACTTGGGCGATCGTGCCGCACAGCAGGTACTCAACTGCATATTAGAGAACTTCTAAACAATCGACAATTGTTTCAAGTAAATATTTTTCTTTCCATTCGACATTGAAGATATGCCAAAGAAACAACAAAGCAATTAAACAGACAAACAGAGGGATAGAGACGACAATCGTAACACCACTGTATTTGTCACGAACCGGATGAGGTTAAGTAAACCAACCAACCGGCTAGCACCACTACAACCATCAACCGTGATGAACAAAGACCATTGTCTGTGTTGATGATAAGACTAGTTTTTTTTGTTATTTGTTAGCTTAAGTTGTTATTTTAGATTTATTTCATTAACGACTATGTTGCCTTAATTTCTCGAAACTCAAAACAAAACAATTGATTGAATTATAATTAGAAGCAAAAGAATCAAAATCAAACGGTTTATTTAAACGAAAATATATCCGAAGTAAAGATCTGTATAACGGTCCCGGGCAGTTCAACTTATTTTGAAACAAAGAATTTTATATTTTACCATATATAACAGATTTGGATCTTCTAATATAGCTAACAGGAATTTTAAACAAAATTAAATCAAATTGGTCTGTTTCAGAATTTGCCAGAATAATTAACAAGTTTCAACATTATTTGCTCTATAAATTCGAAAAGTTTTTTAAGTTGTTTTTTTAAGGGAGAATATCCCGACAAAAAACAAGGAAACTGATGAGGATTGGTGGCTCTTTCCGAAATCTAGGTGTTCCCTGCCTTACCCTCTGGTAAACATTACCATCTTTCTCCACTAATAAACAAAAGTATTTTTTTTTTTTGTAAAAATAACAATAATGGGATTAAGCCTATTTTGCAAAAACAAAATACTACGGTATCCCGAACAAACCTACCAAACCTGTTTTTAAGATATTTCCAAATTATTCGAAATTATAGCAGTCGATTATTTAACAAATTTTGAGGTCATTTTCCATTTAAAAATGATTCAATGGTGCGGGGTTTTGTTTTTCTTTTGCTATTGACAAAAAAACGTATCCTAAAAATTCACAAATATCGTTAACTACCCAAATTGGAACAATTTGTGATAATGCAGAATTCGACTACAGATGGAATATGTCTTCGCCCTTCAGAGATACCCAGAAAAACTCAAAGATTTTGTGTGTTGTTGTTGTTTTTAAAACAAATTACTCTTTGCGAAACTTGTTCATTTTTTTTATTAATGATGATAGTACTGGTAAAGCAATGGTTAAACAATTTATAAATGCGTTTGATGGGTGAATTCTTTTTGTGAGTTTTTAGGTTTTCTTTTTAATAAGTTTAGCTCATTTTGAGTAGAAGTAGAGAAGGAAGAGGGAGAATGAAATACAAACGAAATTATTTAATAAAACATAAACATTATGAATACAATTTACATGGGTCTACCCATGCCGCGACCCATGGGTGCTCCAGCCATGGGAACATCACCGCCAGATCTGGGACTCTTAATTGTTTCATCGACTGACAAAATCATAATGGCAGCTTCAGCAGCAGCGGTCAAGGCATTGATCTTAATGATTGAAGGCTCCCACACACATTCTTGGAAGTTGTCGGCAATGTCTTCCTTGGTAATGTCAACACCATACCATTGGCCGCCTGGAACGAAAAGAGGAAAACAAAAAAGGTCATAACCAATTAATTTAATATACATATGTATAAGTATATGTTGTATAAATATATATAAATATATGCATGTTGAATTTTATAACGTTGCTAATTCCTGCCATTATAAAGGAAGGAAAAAGGTAAGTATTTTTAAAATTTACTTAATGTAATTGTATTAATTTGCTATATAAAAATATAAATAACTATTCTTATTCCTATTCTGGTCATGTTTGTTACTTTGCATATGTTTCAATAATTTGTTCTATTTCGATATACATAAACAATTTTTAGGTTAAAAATATGGAATTTTGTAAATAAATTGTTACAATTTAACGTTAAGAACACTTGTGAAGCTTTCCATATTGACATTTTAATAAATCCATTTCATCCCTATCTAAGTTGTAAACATGTGTACAAATATTATTGAGATTTTCTATTTGGTCATATGTTTCAAAGTAAAATAAAACAAAAACACTTTACTTTACTTAAGTGTTTTAATTGTGGAGTTGTTTTTCAAATTGCTTACAAAGACTGCCAACAATGGCATCTGAAATCCACATTAATCCCACTTGATTATAAACAAATAGCTCTCCTTCAATAAAAATAAACACCAATGACGTGCATTTTTTCGCTTTTCTGTTTACACACACAAAAAATTTAAATAACAAAACAGAAACAAATTTCAATTTTGCAGAGATAAGTTGAAATATTATTTTGTACATTTGCTTTGTCTTTGCAAATAGAATTAAAAGTTATACACTTTAAGAATTAAAATAAAATTGAAATATATATAAAATAAAATAAAACAAAAAAGAATTGGTTTGTACCAGAGGCCAGAGTAGACGACAAACAAAAATGAGTACGTGACTTAACAACGAAACAAACTTGTTTCGACCAAAATAAAACTTCGAATCGTCGAACAAAACAATGGCGCGGCAGAAACCACATTTTGTTTTTAATTTCTTGCTGTGGCGCCTTCTCAGGGAGAACTTTTAAATAATCAGTAATGACACAGAGCAAAGCAATATTCTTGCTTCTTTTTTCTTTTGTATTTGTTGGCGATGTTGAAATGCATTAAAATCGTTCAATAAACTAATAAGTGAATGACCGATTGTCACATTTAAAGTACCAGCTCTATTGCAGCACAAGAAGAATACAAAAAATAACAAATCAATAAATGCCAATCAAAGAGATAACAAATGAAAAATTAAAACTTTCACCAAATAGATTATCGGTAATATGTGGGTTATTTGATGATCATGCCAATATTTACACTCATTTATGTGTTTATTTCACAATATACAGGGTGAGATAAAAAAAAAACTGCAGCAAAGTCAAACATCATAATTTTTACATCTTTTTTTTAATTTTATTGAATGAGAGCAAAAATGTCGGAAATTGCATCAAATTTTAGAATAAGTTTAGATTTTGTCACACACTGCCCGAATGTTGCTCTGCGGCATTTTGGCCCATTCCCGGCGAACGCTTGCTTGAGGTGATCGACACTTTGGTATTATTTAATGCCGACCTTGCTTTCCAAAATACTCCGGACACAATTCTGGTGACCAACCGAAGGTGTACATTTTCAGCTGACCTTTTTGGCAAGTGAACACGATCATTTTGTTTGTTTTTTTTTTTAGAAACTGCTCTACAACGAATGTTTTCTCATCGGAGAAAACCAAATTCAGCAGTTCACCACATTCGGCCAAGCGAAGCAACTCTTTAGTTCTTTTGAGTCAATTTTCTTTCTGTTGCGGTGTAAGTTCTTGCACTTTTTGGAATTTCAATGGCTTTACCCCGAGCTCATTTTTCAATATTTGCCGAATGGAATATTGCGATATGTTCAAATCACAAGTCATTTTTCGGCCACTGCGGGCCACCTTTTGGTTTGTTTTTTACTATATATCCCATGTATCTCCTTGAACTATCGATATTTCATAAATATATAAATATCTCGATATGTTGACTACTACGATATTGAATAGGAAGAGCAAACATAAGGCTCTCTTACGTGTATCTAAATGCAAGTTTATGTTTTGTTGCAAAAACCATTTGCCATATAATTCTATAAATACACTTATATCCCTGACCATTCATTAAAGACACAACTTACCTTGAGCATGTTTCTGTCTCAATTTGTTCAAAATATTTGTGGCATCGAAACCGGCATTGTCACACAATTGACGTGGGATAACTTCCAAGCCTTTTGCAATGGCGGCAATCAGCAATTGTTCCTTGCCGGCAATGGTACGCGAGTAATCTCTCAAGATTTTCGACAATTCCATTTCAATGGCACCACCACCTGAAAAAAAACAAAGATACGTATTTAAAAAAAACATTCAACAATTAATAAAACAAATAGATTTATATAAAAACACCACAAACATTGGGTCAATAGAACCAACATTTTTCATTGAACCAACAAACGATTTTGACGTCACAAAACAAACAATGTCGAAAACATACCTAAATTGCAAAAAAAAAAAAAAAAAAAAAAAAAAAAAAAAAAAAAAAACACAATGTAACTAACTCTTTGCTAAAACAAAGAATAAAAAACTAAAAACAACTATCGAGAATAGACCTTGTTAAATGCAATAAACGCTCTCGACCTAAAGATAATGCAATGCGATACAATGAAACGACACTAAAATACTTGGAATTAAAGCCTCCTATCGAAGAATGTATGTACACTGCACAGATGTACACATGCACACATACATACCACCACCTATATCTATCTAATGTGCAAATACGACAAACATACGTACATTGCACTATCTAACAAACAGCTTGAAGCCGTCGTCGTCAGATTGCAACTACTGCAACATTGGCTAGGTCAATAAACTTCTCATGGGTACACCAACTCATACACCATAGAAGAACCATGGAATGGAAAACAATGTTGAAAAATTTGTTAGGTAAACACACAGGCACACATAATCGTAACGAATTAAACGGCTTTAAAGCTTTATCTAAGTTTTGCGCTGAAAGAAACTATATAAAAATGTCGATATTGCTTATTTCAGCCCCATAATTTCGATCGGTCCACCTTTGGATGGAACCACACACTATTAATCACACGATGACTAATTCTCCCATTGCTTGCTTAAATTAAAAAAAATGAAACAGTATTATTTCCTAAATGAAATTCATAAGATTTTTCTATAGAAAATTATAAATTGTTGTGTGGTGACGATTTCAACGAACATTGCCCTCCCCCTGAGTGGCAATGAAATCAAATCTAATTAAATATACTATAATTAATAATAAACAAAGAACCGTTCTCATGCGGAAGAATTGTTGCCATGTATATAATTATCTCTCGAAAACTATATACATTTATATATATGAGAAAGCAGCAAATTTGATTTTGTCGACATCTGTATTTGGTTTACGTTTCACGTGCCTAGTAATGAAATGTTGGTAACGAATGTTGGTAACAACAGATAACAAGTGTCTTATAAGTAGTATAGATTATTTACTGAATTCATTAGATACAAAATTGTATCTTAATTGAGTAAGGCTAAAGGTTTCAAAAGATGTGGGATAAAAGGGGAAGCTGCTCTTGAGAAGCTGCTCAATCATATATTTTTAAGTACGAGTTCTACTTTTTTGATATTTCTTCTTTTATTCAAATTTCGCTGTGTTAATTCAAAGACATATAATATAAGATGGGACATTACATTGTTACTTTTCTTCAATAGATGGCGCTGGTCGTGGAAAAATATGTTATGTCACGATATCGTGACATAGCATTATGTTAAATTTAACAGAGCTGACACATTTTAAGGGTTGTTGTTGATTTTTATCGATTCAATGTACAAGGAAATGCTCTGGAATAGATTTTGGAGAGCAAGTCTATCATACCTGATATTTTTTTCCGCGAATTTCTGCCATTTTTTGGCGATATCGGAATAACATTTTTTTCTAAAATTTCCAATGCATTTCTGTTATGTCGCCTGCCATCTACTACCTAATAGAAAAATTAAAGCCCATATGCATTTTGTCCAGTCTTTATAGTTTTATGTCTTTGGTTAATTTTATTGTCTACATTTTTTAGTTTTCAATAAATGTTTAATGATTTTCATCTATTATCATCCACAAAATAAAAAGGACACTCTATCTGGCATCTTTAAGAAAAGATCCTTTGACTATACCTTCAATCTGGCATTACTATCCACAGTTAAACAAGATTTGCCTGTGTGTGTATGTGATCAGCATTGTGTGCTATATGTGTGAGCACGCTTGTATAGCCACAGCGCGTCATCATGTGAATGGCGACATAGAGTACGTTCTCTCTTTTATTTAGCTTGTTTTGAGTGTCTGTGCATTCGCACGATACTGATGTTATTCTCATTCACTTTGTGTACACACCAAGGTAAATGAATTGGTCTGGTGCTGAATCGACCTTCCTTGTCGTGGGGAGCATAATACTCAATGAACGTCTAGTGAGAGTATTGATGCTGACACCACAATATTTTAACCCCCGTATGTATATTCGTGTACGTACGGAATTTTTGGATATGTCCTCTTACTTCATAGAGGACGCGTAACTATACATATGAGGGATACTCTGAGGATGTTTAGATGTAAAGAAAATATAATGTGTCCTAACGTTGGTTGCAATACTGGAAAATATATATCCTTAATATTCTTGATTGGTGTGATAAAATTCTATACCGGTCATAGTGTAGGAATAATTAGTACAGTAGTGGGATTCTCTAACTCATTTTTTTGAGTTATTGACCAAATATCGGTAAAATGAAATCGCAAAATTATGAATGAAAAGTCTGAATTAACTTGGCAACACTATTGGTATCGGTAGGACTTAGCGACTACTTTATTTTGGTCGCTATCTTGCCGAAAAATTTTGTTAATTATCGAATTATAAGCATTTTAATGTTACAGATTTTTGTCGGCAACTCTAAAAATGAGTTAGGGAATCCCACTACAGAGCAAAAGTCGACTATTAGAATTTTCGATTTTTACCTAAAACGAAAAAGTGGCTATTTCACTTTTGACTTTTTAAACCAAAGTCGACTGAAATCAATTTCGACTTTCTTGGTGGGTATTGTTAACCAATGTATGTTATTTGGCCCGTGTGAAAATGTAAAGACTTCCTCTATGATCGCCAACACCAAAACGTGATTATTCTAAATTTAGCAATGCCCGTCTGTGCAATTAATTTTTCGAACCTATTAAATATTGTAGACAAATCGAGTTTATAGGGTCCACGTTTCTGTATAGCCCCTGTCAATTTCAACAAAACAAAATTTAACTACATTTTTCAACGGATTTGTCTACAACTTTCTCATTGTGAGAATTCTCGATTTTAAAAATATTAGAAGTTTTCACATCATTTTCATGATATTTAGGTACCTATTATACTGCTTCTGCATATTCCCCGTTGCGCCGATATTCTGCATTTTAGTTGCATTTGCTAGATAATTGGTTGCAATTCGAAATATATACTTCATAGGAAGAAAAAGACTCTTTTCAGGTGAATAGGCTGTAATTTAGAGAGGGCGACTATAAAAGCCATATTACTTGATTTCACATAAATGGTTGGAGGAAATTAAAACTTGGCATAAATAACCAAAATTTAGTATGTAATTAGCTTTATAAGAAAAAATGCAATTAAACTACAGAAGGCAACATTAAATACTGTGTACTAATTCAAATATTTTTGCGATCTAAAGATAGGAGACTTGTTTATAGTCTAGAACGTTTGATTATTTCGTTCTGTGTTCTATCCATTAATCAAAATTGTTATCCCAAAACATGACTCAATTAGAGTGGAGTGAAATAAAGAAAAATCTTTTAACTTTATTTCAATAGGTACATTAATGTATGTCTACAGACTTAGGTTTGATCTCGTGAAACTTGTGTTTTCTTTGACATAAAAACGTTTTGAAAATACTACCATGACAACAAAAATGGAAATGTCATCACTTAAATAGCGATTTAATAAATAAAGCTATATAAATAATTTACAATCGTTACTGCAATCACTTATACAGCCATATTTTATTTTGCAATTTTTCCATGACGTCGACAAAACACGAATTGCTTATCAAAGAAATTGTTGCTACCCCCATTTCTATCAGCGTTATTTGTACAAATGCAAACTTACAAAAGCATATATGGAATGCAAGTGTTTTGTTTACAAAACTATTGTTGTTGTTACGGTCTTTGAAACCATAGCTAAGTTCATTCATTTTCTACAATTACTATTCGATACGAATAGCCCATATATTAAGTGCAATGTATTATGTGACCTTTCTTCTGTTTTAATTTAAATTCTTAAGGGATTATGAAGGGGTTAATAAAAATAAGGGGATATGAAATGTAAAATAAAACTTAATTTCACACCAATAAAATTAAAACTTATTGAAGATTGCGGATCTATGCTCGAAAACGTAGCCTCTGTAATATGAAGAATATGGAGGTTGTCATCAATAATCTCTATAAACTCCATACTGAATAATGTACATGGGCTTAGTGTGATGAGCACAAAAACAAAGATTCCAAGTGAAAATGGACATTAGTTTCAGGTTTTAGATTCATAGCTGACAATAATATGCAATTACAGCTGATGCATTGAGCTACAGGATTTGTATGTATTCCGTTTGTAAGATCCCTAAATATTCGTCGTAGACCCCATAACGTATATAGCATAAAATTCTATGTCGGTTTAAGGATGTCCATCTGTCTGTTGAAATCACGATACAGCCCACATTGTTTGACGTAGAGCGTCAAAATTTAGCGGAACAATTTGTATTGTGTCTAGGATGGTTGGTATTGAAAATGAGATATATCGGTCCACGTTTTGGTATAGTCTCCATATAACGGTTTTTGATGATTTTTGCCACATTTTTTCACGAATTTGTCTGAAAATTGGGATTTGTAAGCCATAATGGGTCCTAGTTCGTGTTTCGAAATATTGTATATATGGGTCCACGCTTTGGTATAGTCCCCATATAATGGTTCCTCCCGATTTTTGGTATTTTGATGATTTTTGCACATTTTTTCACCGATTTGTATAAAAACTGATATTTTTGGTCATAATGGGTTCTAGCTCCGGTGCGAAACATTGCATGTATAGGTCCTGGAATCAGTGTAGCCCCCATATAATGGTACCTCCCGATATTCGGTATTTTGATGAATTTGCCAAAGTTTAACACGAATATGTCTAAAAATTGGTATTTATGGGACATAATGGGTTCTAATGTTTCCTATACCCTAAATGTATTAAAAGCTCGACCGGGCGAAACTTAATGTTTTTTTACTTGTTTTTAAATAATTTAAGCTAATAGGAAAATGAAATGGAGTTCTTATTAAAGACAGTTTTATGGGAACTTGCTTTAAGAATAGAAGAAACGCCCAGAAGGCCCAGTAGTGGTTTAAAATTAAATATCAAAACATTTAAGTTTTCAAAATTATAAGCCAAGACTTTGTTTGCTATTGCAGTATAATTGCAGTGCCTGAAAGAAAAAGTCTGTGGAACAAATCTGGCAAACTTAACTATCGTTGATTCGATTTAAAGTCAAATATAGTTGTAATAAAATTGACTTAAGCTAAGCCTTTCTACTACGGGTTTGTAAATAAATGTGATCTAGGTTTGTTGAGTTGTTAGTAACATTATATATATGATTTCAACCAAGTAACGTATTATGTTTTCGCCTTGTGAATAAGGTATATGCATTTAACTCACCAGCTACAACAGAATCGTGTTTAATTGTACGGCGAACAATCATAATGGCATCGTGCAAGGAACGTTCAGTTTCTTCCAAAAACTGTTCAGCACCACCACGGAGAATAATGGTACATGTCTTGGCATTGGGGCAGCCTAAATAATAAAAATTTACAACAGTATATAAATACAACACAAAAGAAAGTATCAGACTCATGCATACCTTGGAATACATTGAAACGTTCACCGCCAATTTGAACTTCTTCGAAATAATCGCAGTGACCCAAGACACTGGCGTTAATATCATTGGCTGTGGTCATGACAGCTCCACCACAGGATTTCATTGTACGTTTGAGATCTTCTTCGGGTACACGGCCAGCACAGAACATATTACGATCGGCGAAATACTGGGTGGCAACATCACCAATGGGCAATTTCGAGAGAACGACATTGGCTCCAGATTCGTGGATTTTGGCCAATTTGTTGTAGAGGATTTGCCATTCGGCATCGACAATCTTTTGGTATTCCTTGACGTTGTCGACACGAATTTCAGCATTGTCACGTTCAGCCTTCAATTCCAATTCGATGTTGAGTAAAGCGATTTTGCAGTCTTTGTAGGATTTAGGAGCCATTTCAAATCCGGCATATGAAAAGGTTTTCTTAAAGGCAACGCCAGAAACCAATTGAGATTCCTCCAAAGAACCACCAGTGATCTTCTTGATGCCAATCATATTCAAAGGCAATAACTCATCCAAAGTTAGGACGGCATCAACAACCATCTTGGAGAAGAATTCCTTTTGCTGGTGAATCAATTTAGAAGACATGGCAGTAGCGGCACACTTATGCAGCAAACTCCTCTGTTCCTCCTTGGATTGTTTTTCAATGCGTACAGCCATCTCATTGATTTTATCCATGCACAATTGCAAGGCCTTGCGAATAGCTTTGATGACAATACGAGGATGGACACCTTCCTCAATGAAAGGCTTAACCTGTTTGAGGATTTCGCCGGCTAACAATACCACAGATGTTGTGCCATCACCAACCTACAAAGATATGATAATTTTTACTTATCCATATGCAAGAATATTGTTGAACCTACCTCAGCATCTTGAGACTTGGCAATATCAACCAAAGTCTTGGCGGCAGGATGAACGATGTCCAATAATTTCATAATGGTTGCACCATCATTGGAAATAGTGGCTTTGCCATGGCCATCGACAATCAATTTGTCCATACCACGGGGTCCCAGTGTGGTACGCACAGCATCCACAATAGCTTGGCAGGCATTGATGTTAGACACCAACTGTGGTTTGCCCTGTGAGGTATCGGTACCTTCTTTCAACAAAACGATTTGTGGTTGCTGGAATGTAAAGAAAACATTAAGAAATTAACTTTAAGTAGAAAAATTACAGCAATTAATGCCGGGTGAGTCACTTGGGCAGCAGTAAACAAAACATGACATGAGGCAGCTGACACATTCAAGAGAGTTGAGCGAAGCCGCACAACGAGAAAATTCTTTTTGAGGTTAGGTTGCGATGACTTCCATTCTTAAAGAAATATTTTTAATTGATAGTGGAATTGTATTTGCAAAAATTGACAATATTTCATTGTTTTCACATTTGATTTTGCGATATGCGAATTTCTAGTGGTTTCTAATTGAAATATAACTTATTTTGCAAAGTATTTCTCAACAGCTGACGACAAGCAATGGTATGGATGGGTGTTGTATGGCTGACAGATGCACGTCATTTTTTCACTTTTACTCCTGTTGAACACCTTTTACCCGGTTTTTCGGTAATCTTTCACTAATCCTTACCATTCTGTGAGATTTTTTTATTAATTCCTTTCTTAATTAATTAATAAAATTGTAATTTTGCAACAGACAGCGGTACTGAACTTCTCACTCGGCGGAATTGTTAACAAAGAAATGCGTGACTTCATTCCCCAATCTTCTCTCTCTGGAGCTCTCACGATTAGGGATACCAAGATCGACTATCAACTAATCGATTAACAAAAATAAAACGATTATGACGTGAGGTATACAACAAGAGTGTTTCTGTTTGAGAGCATGACGCATAATTTTAACAGTCAGCAATCATAAAGATATGTCAACATATCATTGAAGGGAACTTAATTGTGGGAAGCAATTTTACAGATAACATTTCCTTCTTGTTCCCTTTTGAAATATGTAAATCGACATTTCCGATAAAATAAAGTAATATCGATTAAATAGCAAACACAAGGGGCCGTTTAATTGAGTTTGTTGTTTTATCAGCGTAAAATAGGTCAACGCGTTTTTAATTACCACTAAATAACATATTTGTTTGTAATATATTTGTTGTTAAAACAATTATCTTTTGTCTTTATTTTTTGTAATGGCAAAATTTGTTAGCATAGAAAACATGCTATCGGTTTACTGTGAATTAAATTTTTTGCATGCTAGCCTTGACACACACCGGATGTGAGTGAAAATTACTTGAAGGCGGCGGATGTAGGGTCTGGATCTTTACGTCATAAGTAAACTAATGCAAACAAGCACCAACTGAATGTAGTTTTTAAATTCTTGATTTTATTTTATATGAATAATTTAACAATTTCGAAAGAGACACATTCGTATTCAGATTATTTTTAAAGAAATAAGGCCCTATATCCATCGCACTCAGTCCATTTCATTCCCATCCGATGTATTTCAAAGCTACAGGCCATTATTTTCCAACTGTTTCAAAGACGATAATAGCCATGGCATAATAAAAAGGTAAGGTAGAGATACCAGCTGATCACAATTGGTTTTTACTACGATTACCGATTTTCCCTTGATGATATGGAAGAAGATTGCAAACCTAGCAAATTCTTACAGGGCCTGGAAAAAAGCAAATTTATTTCTAAATGTGCACTTCTGCAACTTTTTTGTCTGTTCCAAAACTGCAAAAATATCCAATGAATAAAAAAACAACTTGTATATAATTTTGAATAAATCTGAAAAGAACTGCAATAATGTAAAAGTTTTTACCAAAGCCTATATAAGGTCGATCAGAAAGCCCATCTGACAATCTGTTTACTACCATAACCGATTTTCCCTTTATAATATCGAAAAAATTGCAAATGCTTTGTTCCAGGACCTGCAAGAATCTACTAGTTTTTCAATTTTTTTTCGATATCATGAAGAGAAATTCGGTTATCGTAGCAAAAATGAGTTCATTGTTGCAGTTCTGGATCAGAGCATTGGTTCGTGATTGGCTGAAATGTTGTTTTTGAAGGATTACCATTTATTTTTGACATTTTACTAGTTTCCCGTTCCCGTACTCTCTGGACGAAACAGTTCTCTCAAGGCGAATATAAAATCTCTAGTACCATCAAAAAAGTACGGGAGTACAACATTAATGTTGGCAAGCCTTCTCGAGGGATTTACTGCGATTAAAAGAATATTCATAAAACTAGCTCACCACTTAATCCTGGTTATCTATACCCACCCATTGCTCCGAATACACATGCAACTGTTAAGTATTTAGCTCAATTTAAAATAAAAACCCAATGCAATATTATCTTCAACTTATTATATCACTGAGACCAGCCCGGTAAGTGTCAACAATTTGGGCTATGGCAAAAACACAAAAAAAAAAAGAAATTAAATTGCTGGATGTCTTCTACTTGTCTAATGCTAATTATTCTTCGTATCTTCTTCGATGCGCTGTGTGTAAAACTCTATTTTTAGTGAATAGAGTGTACGAGAGACTCGCTTGGACCACCGATGTCATAGAAGGAATGCTGCAGTCACGACCACAAAAGCATCATTGTCGTCGTCGCCAACAACCAAAACAAAACAAACAACCAACCGAACAGAGCAGTCACCCATCCTGACGGCCTGATTGGGCCAAGCAGTACCATTTTACAATGCGTGACGTAAACACACCATTTGACTAAGAACGCGCGTGCCAGTCGCGTCTTTCTATCTATCTGCATTACGAAGAGACATTTAAACCGGCAAAATCGTGCAAGAACTTAAAGAAGATACTTCTCGCATTAGAAATTGAAAGTGCAGTGAAACCACAAGTTGTGTTGTTGTTAGCGGACCAGCTAAAGAAAGAAAGAAAAAAATAAAAACAGAAGCAGTTTACATCTGAATCCAATTCTACGTGATAGGAATTGGAGATCTAGATGAACTTGCAGTGCGTGTCCCATAAATGGATATGGTCGAGGGTACCTTTTAGAGGCTTTTAAACAAGGAAAAAAGTCACTAAAAAGGCAACAGCCGGCCGGCAATTGCAACGGAATTAGGCAGTGTTTTTTTTTTTGTGAAACAAAGCTAAAAAAAGTGCAAAAAATATTCTATGTTTCGGCCAAATGTTCAGTGGAATTCGCCAGAGACCAACAATAGAGAAGAGTGAGTGCCAAAATTGTTTGTGCGTTCGGCATTTCGGTTTTTTGAGGTGAATGCATTACGCACACACATCAACAAGTTTCTAAATAAAATGAAATAGAATAATCGAACAGTTCGGTTTATTTTTAAACATTGTCATTAGCAAGAGTCCTTTGTTGCTGTTGTTGTTATTGTGTCTTCTTATATTCAAGTTATTGAAACGTCATTACAAAATCCTCACCTCATCAATTGAGAAATAAAACATTCAAACTCTGTTGTGTGAGTGAGTGTGTGTGCGTGTTGTGAAATGTCGTAAACAAATATTGCAAGAATTGTCTCTCGGCATTCGTTTATTTTCGGAAATATGTAAAACGTTTAAGAAATTTTTTTAAACAATGTGCAAATTATGAGAATATATTTTTTTATAAATAAAAACATTTAACGGATTCAACCACGAGAGAGAGAGAGAGTGAGACAGACGAGTGCTGACAGTTGGACCGTTACGTTATGCTCTCTATGTTAAAGTTTTTGTTTTGTTGCTAATTGAAAGCGCTTCTTAAAGCTTTCATTGGATTTGCAATGTTTGTTGTTATTGTATTTTGTTGTTGTTGCACTACCTTCATTCAATAACTTTTCCCATTTTATTACCACAAAATGCAACATCATGGGACATTAAGTGATTTTATTTTGAATGAGAGTAAAAGTGTAGTGTTGCCAGATGGAAGTGGTAAATATTAAGTGGTCCACGAATGGGAACATAGTAAGTTTTCATATTTAAATGAATTCCTTTAAATAAATAACTTTATTGACAAACTTTGCAGAGCTACCTAACTGTTTTAACAAATTGTGTATACTCTTTAGATTTTCAAACTTGTTGAGCAATGACATGGTAGGTAACCTCATTTTAAATTAGCATTCCCAGCTCTGTATTTTCTGTAATTTACCTTGTCAAATTCCAATGCATAGAAAACAGTTCCCATCTCTGATTTTTTGTGTACAATGGATTTATAAATATATATTTTGACAGTGAGACGTTGTCAAAGGAATTATTTTGAAAAAAATAACATATGATTGCAGAGGATTACCTTCTTAATGCTACCATGGAGTTGTAGATTACCACTTTCCACATATGGCTGCCTAGAATTGTAAACATATGGGTTTATATTCTTTCACGTATCAGTACTCTGCCCGTATATTCTCTACATTTGGGAACCCTCCATATACTGCATTTTCGTACTTTTATGTGAAAGAAAATTGTTGAGTTGTCTGTGCCGAGAAAGTACGGGGACGGAAAAGTCAAAAATAGGTGGCTAACCTTTGAAATGGAAATATTAACCAATCAGCAGCTTGCAATCATATTACCATTTTTACTCGGCTCGTAAACAGTGGAGAACGATTCTCTTAAATTTAGCTTCCAGTTTTAACATTGTTAGAAGGGTAGAATCTTACATAAACGTTATGCATTTTATACACGGTTGTACGGGCTCGACTTTCTAGGAAAATATTGTAAAAATATCAGATTCTTGAAATTTGTGGAGCGGAGGTAAACAACATCCGCTGACCACATTTTAAATCCTCTCAAAGTCACATGTAACTAGTGCTAGTTTTGCACTGGATTTATGGAATCCATTTCTATGAATATTTCAATTGTATTCCATTAGCGTATAAAAATGTCTGTAATATTTTCCACCTCTAAACATTCTCATGTTTGTTGATGTGATAATTCTCCCCCAGACCGTCTGGCAACACTGTCTTTACTTGTTATTTCCTATCGCTGTGCTTTTGGCTTTTATGTTTTTATTTCTTTTTGTTTGTTTTTGTTTATTCAAAGGCAGCAATAACAAAAATCGCCACTATCTAGCTGCCAAAGCTTTGCCAGACTAGTTAGTCAATCGGTGTCCGACCGAAACGAAAGATCTCGCTTTCCCTAAAGAGAACAAAATTCTAATCAGAATAATTTTCTTATTCTTAATTAATTAATTATTTAATATTTGTAGAACTTTTGACCCAATCGACTTTGTCTACAAGAAATTTAGACTTTAAGAAGTATCGAATCGCAACAACTTCATAGTGCAGTAAAAAAACGAACCCAAAACATATCGAATAAACCCAGAAAAAAGAGCAACAACAATTTATATTTAAATATAGCATAACTACGCCACACACATACATTGATAACTTTAGTGCAAACGAACATTCATCCAACTTGTATATCCCATATCCTGACGGTATTAAAACCCAAGTCAACACGAATTCAAAACAAACATACGCACCCACGTCCATTCGATATCAATAAATAGCCGATAAAGAGATTACAGCGAAATAAATAGCCAAGGAAAACAACAATAAACTACCGTTGTACAAAAGTTCTATAAGAGACGGAAATAAGAAAATTTGAAAGAAAAAATAGAAAAGAACAAAAAAGATAAAACAAATATTTATTTAATCTATTAAATATCGAGCAAAGACAATATAAATCCCGTTAAAAAAAATTTCTGCGATAAGTGCAAAAAAAGCAAATTTATAATAGAAGAGAGTGAGTGTGAACATTTCAAAAAGAGAGTGACGTCACTTCCCTCCCCAATAAGATTGTGTATTAGTAATGCAATTTTTGGTTGATAAAACCTGCGGATCAAAGATAATTAGTGTTTAGCTACACATATAGCTACCTATGTACACATGTGAATAGCTGCAGCTCAGTTAAGAGAGATAATAGAACGATTATTTATAGTAGCTGCATGTGAATTGATTCAAGTGTCATCACCGCCAGCAACAAAGTGTCAGAATACAAACAAATGTCAATTAAATTGATGTAACTGAGAATACGACAATAGCAAAAACAATCGACTAAATTGAAATTGGAAATCGTCATCAAAAGGATTATCTATTTTAGGATTCAACAGGTGTTGGTAGGTATTTGTTGGAAATTTCATTTAATCTTTTAATCTTTATTTACAAGATTGCAAATCACTTTTTCGAAGGAAAGGATTTATCTGTAAAACAATTTTGAAATTTAATGTATTAATGTATTAATTAATGCATTATTCGCATTTAAAAATGGGAATTGACTGTAGATTTGTATTTTAAGTTCCTGTTAAAATAATAGCGCTACCTAAAATTAAGCGTAGCATGTATAAATACTCAATTTCCCCACTATGGTAAAATATTTTCTACGTCCGTATTACCAAAATACGTCAGGTCCATATCTTAAAATCGCCCAAATAAAAACGTCGTAAAAATTGATACTTTTTTAAATTTACCCAAATGTACGCCCGACGTATTAGGGTAACTCTCTCATATGGGTTAGAATTGTGTGGTGAAAAACGTCGACAGAGTGCGTCGAATTTTGAGGTAACGTCATATTTTCCATAACCCCCCTATAAATGTGCCACCCTATTTTAAGATTTTTTCTGCTTGTCACCCCATTAAACTTACGTTGTTATGGCTACAGAGAGTAATTGCCGTTTGACTAGACCAACAAGGGCTTCATTAAAATAACGCTTTGAAACGAAATTTGATTCAGGACATTTGAAGACGTCCTAGGCATTTCCGTCTATGACTATTCCCGCTTCCAATCAGAAATTTTCAAAATTATATGCAACAACCTGTTTTCCACCTTGAAAAGCAGGGTATATTAACTTTGTAAATCCTTTTGCAACATCACTAAATATTCGTCGTAGACACCATAAAGTATGTGTATATTCATGATCAGCACAAAGTTCTAAGTCGACTTAATGATGTCCGTCGGCCTGTCTGTCTGTCGGTTGAAATCACGATGCAGCTTACATTATTTGACGTAGAGCTTCAAAAACAATTTGTATTGTGTCTAGGAAGATTGGTGTTGAAAATGAGATATACTGGTCCACGTTTTAGAATAGCACCTCCCGATATTCGATATTTCGATGAATGTTGCCACACTTTCCACGGATTTGTGTAAAAATTGGTTTTTGTACTTCATAATGGGTTCTAACTCCGGTGGAGTTCATTTAAATGCTGGAGTGCTCTAAAGATAGCCACTTGTGGTTTCCCATTTTCCATCACGAATAACTTTTTTTCTGAATAATTCTCACCAAAATGCTTTTGTACGCTTGTAAACAATATAACGAGCTATCACTGAAATAATTTTAAGAGCTGTTGGACGACTGGATTAGAAATGACAGCAGTCTGAAGTTGGTTGCAGTTTTTTCATCTCACCCTGTAAATTTCTGCAAATTTCACAATCGAAAATAATTTCTAACAACAGGAATGGCGAATATAGTGAAAAGAGAAAGAAAACTATTTTGGAAGCTTTTATCTACAGAACTAGTTCCTCTCCCCCATTTATTTAAGAATTGGAAAAATTTTATTCAAAAGAATTTTATCTTGTTTTAATAAATATTCATCAATCATCAGGAGGAAATTAATGGCATTAATTTTTAATAACTTGTTGTTTTATGGAAAAATGTTTTTGTTTTTTTTAATCATAGGGATGTACATACATATATACATACATACATATATTTTAGTTCTGTTTTAGAAACATAAAAACACGTGAAAATTTAAATATATTTTGGCACTATTTCAAAATGTATGCTGACAACGGACACAAAAGATTAAAAAGATTTTCAATATGATGGATGAATATTCGGTTAGCAATTGTCAGATTTGAAAAAAAAAGTTTTCTCTTTTCCAAAAAACAGTTCTAGCGCCTTTACAATGTCCGGGATTAATTTTGTGTACACGAATTTTAGGATTTGTATGTGTCCCCCCAAATCTATTTTTATTGAAAACTAAAATTATATTTAACACGCATTTTTTTAGATTTCATTCAGTTTTAAAAATAAAGTAAAATTTCATTAGTCATAAAAACAAATGAATTTGCATTGAAAATCTCTCTCTCTCTCTTCAAATCAAACCTGTTTGTTTTTCTTATATGTCACAGCCACCCTTTTGATGTTAATATTTATTTATTTATATTTTTGTTTAATTTTATTGTCATATCTTTCAAATTCGGCAAATTCGGTGGGTGTGTGTGTCATTATTGAGCAGCGCTGTTTATTAGTCATACCCGTTGTCTAATGGTTAAGTGATTTATTTCAATATTTGTTTCGGGATGAAACAAATGCAAATGCATGCGAAAGGCAATGAATGGTTTTTCTATTCTTTGAGTTTCGTTTTGAAATATTTATTCGTAAACACTTTTGAAATTAGTAACAAAAGATTTAATTATTATTATTTATTACGTTTTTTTTTTTAACAAAAGCAGCTTGAATAGTTAAATAATTTCGAGCGGGTCGAACTTTGGATACACTTTAGCAAAAAATGTGTGAATTTATATCCATCGAAGATACCAAATGCCAAGTTTCTTGGATAATGGGTTTAACATTGGCCGTCAAATTTAGACGAAAATAAACCTGAGTGTGGGTTTGCACGGATTTTTAAAGGGTTCTATAACCTCTTAAAAGGCGGATTTTATAAAGCATTCTAGGGCAATGAAAATGTTAAAACTGTGGTATTTTTTAAAGGATTCTATGACAATTTAAAGACACTTGAAACCCTGAAGTTTAAAATAGATTTATAGCCATCTAAAAGCCTCTTAAAATGTAGTTTTTTCAAATGTTCTAGGGCCCATTAAAATGTGGAATTTTTAAATGATTCTAAGGATATCTAAGGTCACCCAACACGCTAAGTTTGAAAGCGATCGGGGGCAATATATAATGTCTACTAAAAACGTAGAATATTAAAAGATTCTGGAACGATTTAAAGACCACTTAAATCGAAAGGCATATTTACTCGTTCAGGATCATTTAAAGGATTGTCAAGGTGAGGATTTCGAATAGGATCAGTAGGATTCTATGACCATCTAAAGGCCTCGTTAAACATGGGTTTTGAAATGGATTCTAGATTCATGCGAAGGAGTCTTTAAACGTTGATTTTGTAAAGGTCTCAGAAACCAGTCTCGGACCATCTATAGCTTTAGTGAATCGTGGATTTCAAGACAATTTAAATGACTCTCTAAACGTGTTATTTAAAGAAAATGAAATGACCATCCAAATAAGTTCATAAAATATTGCTAAAATGTAGATATTCTTAAGGGATATTCTGGTCTATTCCTCAGGATTTTAACGGATTTCAAGACCATCAAAGGGGCTGTCTAAAAGGGATTTTTTAAAATTTTTATTGATAGGATTCACGGGTCATAAAAATGTTTCTAATTTTTTTAGAGCCAACAAAAGCCTTGGTCGTCTAAACCTAAACCTGGGTCATCTAAACCTTGTGTAAAACCTTGATTTTTATACCCTACACCATATAGTGGTAAGGGTATTATGTCTTTGTGCATTTGCTTGTAACATGGAGAAGGAAGCGAGATATTCAGGGTTTCTTGGGCCACTTATAGGCCTTTTAAATTGCTGTTTGATGAAAATCTTTTTGAAAAATGAAGTATCACATCAAAACCCACTCTTGGCAAACTTTCTCTCTCTCTCTCTCTCTCTCTCTGAGGAAATGCCACTAAGAATAGGTCGAGAACATCAAACCATTACCATTCCACCAAATGTTATGCCTCAAAAGACATCAGTTGTGGAATTCCTGCCACTCACAGAACTATTTTAAAAAAAATAAATTCTAACATTTTTCGTCAATCGTTCCATACAAATTGAACACACACCCATCTAAAATATTCCGAAGGGAGGAAATTGTCCACATGGATGGCGAAGTTCATATCTGTCCACAAAATGTAGATTATGAATGATTTGTGTTATGCCCCGCAGATGTTGTTGGGGGATTGTTGTAATTGTTAATGTTTTTTCTTTGGGGCGTTGTGTCTCTTGGAGCCGTATGACATCACTTTGCCACTAGCTGGTCGTCGGCATTGTAAAGACATATGCCCATATGCCCAAAAAAAAAGCAACAAAGAGGAAACTGCCAGACGCCATTAATGAACTTGAAGGGGAATATTAGTTTATTTCGGGACAATTTTGAGATAAATTTGATTTTGGAATTATGACTATTTTTGGCTAGTGTTTGCTCACCATTTTTTTGGAGGGGTTTTAGCGTGATCTGTAGATTTCGTCTCAGTCTCCGTGATATGTGGACGGACAAACAGATCATGTTGCCATTCAAACTACATTGGAACAATAGTAACAGAAAAAAACATGAATTTGGGTTAATTGTTTTTAATTGACTTGTCAGCAAAAATTTGAATTCTGTCATATGATGCCGGCCTGCCCGCTCGCCGGTCTTGGCTTGCGTCTGCCTTGTATGTCTCCATGAATGCGGTTTAATTTGTTGCTATTGCTTGTCTTACTAGTTTTGAGCGTTTTGTCTTTGGTCTAGTTTGCCGCTGATGTTGCCAAATTTGGCCAGAACAAGTGCGAAAGAAGATGATAATTGGTACAATAACAACAACAGCATTCGCTTGTGAAAGCAAGCACACAATCAGTAACACCAAAATTGGCTAACCATTCAAATGAGCTCCCCCCCCACGCACACACACTGCTGTGAGATATTGTATACAAAAATCTGTGGGAAATAAGCTTCTTACAGCATGCCCTACGAAGTGGAGGGCGTGCTATGTTTGTCATACCGTTTGTAATGATGGGGAAACATAAATCGGATTTTGTTACAAAAAGTCCTCATGAGACACTTTTTTTTGCGACTCAAGCTCCGAACAGTCCAGATCGTAAGCATTTGCGAGAATTGGCTCTTGGACATTCCGGTATTTACATGGTAGTAAATCTGCTGTTCTTGCATCGTTTAAGGATTCAAAAAAAAAAAACACCTATGTAAGGAGGTATACAGCGTGAGATAAAAAAATCTGCAAAAAAATACTCCAGACACAATAGTCCAACGGATTGGTATACGGAGATTTTGGTGGCCTTTGTGCGCTGGAAATAAAGCGAGGAAACTCATTTTGTAACCATTCTTGGGT